ATATATATATATACATGTAAAGCGACTTAAGTACGTAAACGTATCATGCACGAGGTATAGCTGTGTTTTGTTGGCGGGCGGGGCGCGAGGCATATATGGCGGCAGCGGCGTCGGCTGTAGGGATATATAAATGAATATTAACATATACGTATATATAAATAATAATATATATATTAATATTAGCGGCGATGGTAAGAATATATAATCTTCGCATAATATCGTGGCACTTTCGTTGGCGTCGACGACGCGATTTCCGGCGTGATCCTCGGGCGTCAAAAGGTTTTAAATTTGTGACGTTACAAAGTTTCAATTACAAAATGAAATTATTATTCTTTGTAATTTATTTATTTTTTAACTTTATTTGTGTGTGTTACTGTGTAGTAACATGTTGCTATATGAATCATTTTTAATTTCATCTGAATTTAATATTGAATTTTTACAATTATAATCAAATTTTTTAATACGTTCAATTGAGTAGATTTTTTTAACAACTTTTTGATTGATTTATTTAATTAAAATAAATCATTAAAATTGAGTAAGTTCTGAATGTTTCAATTGTAGAATTTTTTTGAACACCAAAAGTAATTTAGAAATTATTACTATGATTTCTTTTTAAGTTATCTATTACGACAAAAGTGCAAAATAATATATTGAGCTTTTCTGATAAATTTACAGTAAATGATTAAATTATTTTTTTATATGTAAATACTCATTTTTAATGATTAGTAATATTAGCAAACCTTAGACAGTGGCGTACACAGAAATTAAATTGGAGAGGGTGGTTCAATCCCCTTGCGTACGCCAGTGCCTTAGAAGTAATATAAAAAGTCTAATTTCAGATTTAAAAATGGTGTGAAAAGTAAATGTTTGATTCCGATGAACGTTACTTGTACACTAATGTATTTATTCATTAGAAAAAAAAATTTTTTTTTAAGTATTGCATCAAGCCTTTTAATTTTTATATTTTGTTGTCATAGAAGTAGCAAAGTATACTACTTTATCATTTTTTTTATTTCTCCATAAAAATTAGAATATTAAATTATTAAATATTAATTTCATACTATATTTAATTGCTACAATAAATATTTATTCATAAATTATACTTTTTAATCTAAGAACTACTAATCAGGATATAATTAAGGATATAGAGTTGATTTTGTAATTATCCACCAATTTCTTAGAATTAAACACTATTTACAGATTTGCATTGAAGCGTTTCTTATGACAGTGATTAAAATCACTGATTTAAGTAAAACTATTGTTACTATTATTATTTCTTACTAGAATATTAAAGAATTTCAATATTTACAAAAATCTGGTCCCTATTTATAATATTTCAAAAAAACTAATATCTTTAAAAGCATAGTATACTATGTACTTGAAAATAAAAAATGAAATATTATCCGAAATTTCTAAAGGTATTAAAGCAAAATATCATACAATTTTCAGTAAAAATAGTAGATTTTGAAGTGTTTTACATAGCAACGGGAACATCTGTATAGTTCAAAATTAAATTAAATTGTAGCTTATTTAATGTAACACATAATTAAAAAAAAGATGTTTTGGGCGACTTTTTTTATGATTAATCGGCATTATTATTGTTTGATGTTGCGATTTGTGACCGTTTAACAGTTTGGTCAAAAAAATAATAATATAAATAAATTAAAAGAACACTCTTTACTATTAATAGAATTGATTTGCAGCCAGCTACTACTATTAGTAATTAATAGTGCTAAAATCAAGTTCAATGGTATAGCGTATGTTTTTAAATAAATTTCAACTAAAAATTACCAATAGTAAGTACTCACAAAACTCATTTTATGTACTCTTTACAACACAAATTTGATTATTAATGGTTTATTTTCTAAATTAGAGAAACCTTAATTTAAATAAAAATAACTATTTATTTATAAAATACACAATTTTAACAACATATATAACTAGTCTTAAAAATAAATTTAATACTTTTACCGTTTAAGAAATGTTTTACTTGCTTTCAATGATGCAAATATAACATCATTTATACTAATACCGTGATAAGATGAACCAACTAATGTAAGAGGCAATTGTTTATTTGAAATATAATTTTGTATTTTTGCAATTCGATCATAATGACCAAGAGTATATTGGGGAATACAATTTTTAAGCACCCTTGCACTATATTTATAGGGCATCTCCTGAATATCTAATACCCGTTGAACATGTTCTATAGCAGTTTTTGTAAGGTTATCCTCAGTCACTAATGTAGTATCACTTCCAAAATATTTTTGATAACTATGTCCACCCATCATCACAGTTAAGTCAACTTGATCCTGAAGACCATATAAGCAACTGTCAAATGTAATACCCAATAAAGATATATTTTCTTGAGGTGGAGTTAACACACCAAATCCTTTGTACTTTTGTAGAACATCAGGATTTTTGTATGATAAATTAGCAGTAACAATAGAAACAGTTGGGATAGACTTTAAAAGTGAAATAAGGGATGAGTAGTCATTTTTTTCTTTCAGAATTGATGCTAATGTATGAGATGGTAAAGCACTAATTACATGTGAACATTCTAGGAGTTGGCCATTAGATAGTAGAACAGTCGCACCCTTATCATGAAAATGCAGTTCAGTACATTTAGTTTTAAGTTGAATATTTGTGCCAAAATTTTCATTCCTTAAATGCAAAGCTCTAGCCAATTGTTGAAGTCCACCCTCTAAGTAATATATTGCAGGTGATTTTTCAATTGGTGATGGAACATTTGCACCTTTTAAATGATTACTCCATGATTCTTTTAATAAACCAAGAATAACTTTGCCATGTTTACGCTCAGCTTCATATAGTTTACCAAACATAAGTTTTATAGTGATACTTTTAGCATCACCTCCACATATTCCACACAATAAGGAAGAAATTAAATAGTCAGCAAATTCTTTACCAAACCTTCGACAAAAAAAACTATAACTACTTTCATCACCATCAAAGTCATTACTAGTACTGTTTTTTGCTAAAAATATTTCACGTAAAATGTAATAACTCCATGAATGAGTAAATGGAGGGTTGACAGTAAATAACGCTTGAAAAAATCCATTAGGTAGTTTGTGAACTCTTCCATTTACATATATGTACCTTGAACCAGCATCAGTTGAAATTGGTTTTACTAAATTGTAAATACCCAATTCTTTAATTAAACTTATTGTATTGTACGCAGCATCTCCAGAGCCTCTTATTGTACGAGGTCCTAATTCAGTAATAACATTGGTTTTTTTGTCTACATAAGAGTGAACCCATCCACCAGAGTAATCATTTAATTCAATTATTGATATAGGATCATTTATCCCACTTTTTTTCAAATAATATGCAATACTTAAGCCAGCAATGCCACCACCTAAGATGCCAATAGTCATGATAAACACTCAAAATATGGCTAGAAAAGAAAAAAATTTAATTAATCATTTTATGTAATAAAAATTTTTTTTTTAATTACTTTCTGTTCTTACATAATATTTCATAAAATAATCTGTTCTAATACTATAACAATATTTTAAGTAATAATTTTTATTTAAAAATTTATGGGTAGCAAAAAAAATGTATTGTAATAATGATATAAATCAGTTTTTAATAGATGTCTTAGAGAAAAATAACTATATTTAAAAATTATAATATTAAGCCTTTGAATAATTATAATTAATTAAAAAGCCTTTAAATTCTTATGTAATTTAAATAAAGAACATAATTTTATTTTATAGTTGTAACCCAGTAAAATAAATTATAAAAAGTGATAGTTGAAAAATGTATACATAACTTGAACTTTTCAAATACAGTGATTTAGAAAAATATATATATTTATTAATGTAAAACTATGTCACTTTTATTTATATTTCATCTAATTTTTTATATTAATTCAAAATAACTTGATAATTTTGATTATAGTATAATATTTTAATATGTTTAGTTTGCAACATTAAGTATAAGTTTAATATATTGGTTGATAATAATTAATTTTAAAGATCACTACAAGTTTAAATTAAGAACCCAAATCCAATTTAAGCACTTATCTAAATTATGATAATTAATAGTTATTACTTAAATGAAGTTGATATCTCACTTGTCTATTTAATATAAAAAAGTAAAGGGATAATTTGATTGTTAAAGAGTTAAAAATATAAATAATTAAAAAAAACAATTATAATTAATGGTAAAGTAAAATATTTACATATTTGCAAAATTTAAAATTTTTGCACATTTACTATTACACCAACTTAAAATACTTTACATGTATAAAATTATTTTTATTTTAATTACTATGATGGAAATCAAACAATTGGTTGCAAAAATAGTAATAAATAATTCAATAATTAGTATACTTGTCTATGATTGTAATAATTTAATTTTCAATTAAAAATAATAACAAAGATTGAGGACTATGGCCATCATATTTTCATATAATCAGTGGTAATAACGTACATAATAGCATCCAAATCGAATATAGTGATAACATTATCAAAAAACCATATGTGTTCTTATCAAATTACCAATCAGTTATATGATTGGCCTTTGTACCACGTATTTTGAATTATGAAAATTCACTACATATCTATTACCTATCTATTATTATTTTAAATTTCTATAACAATCATAAAATACAAGAAAAAAATTTTCGATTAGATGGATAAGTTTCTTGAAAAAACCCATTGTAATCAATACAATGAATGATCTCAGTAATAAGGAACTCTTAAAGATTACACAATAAACTGCAATACAATTAAATTTCAGTGAATGTAGTTGATAGAAATATTTTAACAACAAGATACAAAATCCTATAAAATGTTAGTTTATCAATCATGATTAATTGCCTTAATTATTGGTTATACTCAATTAAATATTACAGATTTTACTTATCAAATAGCCAAGTATTTGCTAATGATTATAATTATCATGTTTATATTATTTTATTTCAGTTGATATGATGTATAATTATAAATAACAATTCAAATTATTCATTGTTAATTTGGTCTTATTATACATTCTTGAGATAAATAAAAGTTATCTTACCGTAAAAATTAGTTTATTTGACTTTGCATTGAAAACACTAATCATTTAAAATTATTAATATTATTAATTCAATTAAAGTACAATAGACACGAGCTTTTACTTCATATAAATTTTATAATGAATAATTTCATTGCATTTGGATTACCATTTTATGGTTGCGGAACAGTTGTCAAAGGTTTTGGGCGAGGTTCTAAAGACTTAGGAATACCTACAGGTCAGTAATTAAGATTTTTGTTCATCGTACAATAGACATAGACTTTATGAAATCTAAATTATTTAAATTAATTAATATTTCTCTTTTTTATTCAATCGATTATTATAAATTTATAAAAACGCCAATTACTTTGGTGTGAAATATTTTTTATTCATAATTTGATATGAATAATTTTTTAATTAAATCAGCTAGTTTAAAAGTATCAACTTTTATTAGTTTATTTTATATTTAAGACTTTTTATTAAATTTATTTTTAGCGAACTTATGTAAAGAAGTAATAGATCAGTTACCAGAACAAATGATACCTGGAGTTTACTTTGGCTGGGCTCAAGTTGATAAATCACCTGTATATAAAATGGTTATGAGTATTGGATGGAACCCATTTTTCAAAAATAAAGAAAAATCTATGGTCAATTTTATTTTTTAGACTATTAACATCTGTTGATAATGTGAATTATTAATATTTTTAGGAAATTCATATTTTAAATAAATTTGAAGAAGACTTTTATGGTTCTAAACTAAAAGTAATAGTTACTGGTTATATTAGGCAAGAATTGGATTTTAGTTCTGTTGGTAATTCTGAAAATTATAACATTCTAATATTTTTTATTGGAGTTTAATATAGCTACTTTGTAATTCCAGATGAGCTTATTCAGACAATAAATTCGGATATTGATATTGCTAAAACAAAATTAGATGATTCTACAAATCAATCATACAGCAATGATAAATTTTTTGGTTTACACTAGATAGTATATATATATATAGAATGTTCAGTAAGTAAGGAAATAGGTCAATTGTTACAAACAATTAGAACATTACAAACCCGTTTCCTAATTTACTGAACATTATAATTATTTAAAGTTATATTTTGTATACTTATTTATGCATTAACCCAAATCAATTTTAGAAAAATTAAATAGTTGTAATTTTTATATCTAATATATTTGAACAACTGTTTGCTTTGCTACTTACAGTTAAAATAATTTTTAGTAAAAACCAGTTGTTTCATTAAATGATTATAGTTATTTATTAATTTACAAAATATAAATTTTTTTTACCAATTTTATTATAGTATATTGTGAAATTTGATCTCAGTATGTTAAAAAAATCTTTTATACTTAATAAGTTATAATAATAATTAATTAATTACTACACTATTTTCATTGAACTAATGTAAATAAAATGTATTGATGATATGAAAAAATAATGGATGAGACAATTACTAATAAAAATAATATTAAGAGTAGATAATTATTATAATAATTGTGTTGAAATTAAAAAAATATTTACTATTAAAAATTCCTTACATTTGATACATACTTTAATCTTTAATAATAAAACCAAAGAATAAATAAATTAATAATTTTTTTTTAAAGTAGGCTAACCAAAATAGTCGCAATTATAATTTGATATATGTTTAAAATAAAACCATATTACTGAAAATTAAAGTAATGTTCAGGACTCTGCATTTATAAAATTTGTTAAGACTACTTTTGAGACATCTAACTTCATTAAATTTAGAGTAGGTATATACAGTACCACATGAACTGATTTTTTTTTTTAGGGGAAATGATCCCATACAAACCATCAAAACTAAAATCATAATTAATCTTTATATATATATTAATTATTTATCCCAATCAATATATTAGAATTAAGAAAAACAAAATACCATATTAATCATTGATATACTCAGGGTGACTAAAATAAACTTTATAAATGCACAAAATCCTGAAATAAAAATTTGTAAAAATATCTAATCCAAGTTTTTCTTTTTATTAATATCATAACATCACCCGTCATTGGTACACCAACCAGTTTTTGACAATTTAGTGTAATACTTAATAAATAATTTATTAAATTTTTGAATAATATTTTGATTTTGATATCATCTATATGACTTATTAAGGGAAAAAAACATACTGACTTATCAAATATAAAAACTGGAAAACTACCAATGTCTGGTGCCGTTTCGCTACTTTTATTAAATTATTAGTAATTTAAAAAATTTTAATAGTTCAGTTATCATTTCATTTAAAATATTTTTTTTAATTGTTAATTTCTAATAAAACTAATACTTTTTGTTATTTTTATGGTTAAAAAATTAGAACATTATTATATTATTACTTATTTTTGTTAATTTATGGTTTTTAGCACTGTTATTTGAATGATTGCCAATAAAACTCGTATTGTCAAAAAACAAGTATTTTATTTACATATCAAACTTTTACAATAAATTTAAAATTTGAAAGGTTTATCTTCTCAAAAATTTTTTAATAATTAAGATTATAGTTTAAGAATGAAATATATAAATTTAAATTATACCACATTTTATAGTTAATTATGAGACAAATTAAAATTTGTCGCTAAACTAAAAACTAATGATAACTTACTTACTTAATTTAAAACAAATTGACTATATTAACCACATATCCCGAAAAACTTTGTGCCCTAGAAAAGTAATCTGTGAAACATCAAAATTAAATTATTTTGGTTGAACAGTTAATCCATGTGTTTGTAACAGTTCTAGGACTCATTGTAGATGATTGAGATATTCCTCCATACTCAATGAATACACTACGATGTCATCCAGGTATACAAACACTAGTTTTCCAACATAACCGCGTATCACCTTGTTCACCAAACGTTGAAATTTTGCTGGTGCGTTTTTGAGGCCGAAAGGCATTACTTTGAATTGGTAAAGCCCCATTTGTGTTCGGAACACGGTGAGTGTCAGACCTATTTGCTAATAACCGGACTCCAGGTTGATAGTGCTGAAGACATTAGCGCCACCTATACCTCTGACCATGTCATGTAAGTCGGGAATTGGATGTGCGTTGGACTCCGTCTGAAGATTGAGTCTACGGTAGTTGACGCATAACCGTTGAGAGCCATCTTTTATTATGGAGCTTCCCATGTCGAGGTACTTGGTTCTACAAAAACTTGCTCCTCCATTTCTCATACCATATTAAAGATGATGTCCTGATTCTCGCGATTATATGGTTATGCATTTAAGGCAGCTGGTGTCTTGTGGTTTAACCGAATATCATGTTCAATGATACGGGTTCTTTCGACTTCCCCATAGAAAACTAGGGTACTTCTATATAATTGACCGCATATCTTTAGGATACTTTCCTTCCGGTACAATTAATTCTTGAATAGTCCTTTTCTTCGATTTATGTTTTCTCGAGCACAACGTTGCACGTTTTCCAGTACCTATGTGAATGGTACACGCTTGGTAATCCCATGAAAGTTCCTGTTTTACCAAGAAGTCATGTCCTAGAAAGATGTCCCCAATAGAGTGGTCGAGTACTACGGCTCTGAACGTCACCTGGAGTTCAGACTACCTTGCTATGAATTTAGCGTACTCGTGAACACGGTNGGAGTTCAGACTACCTTGCTATGAAATTAGCGTACTCGTGAACACGGTACGGTTGTCAGCCATAGTGATCACATGTGGTTCTTCTTCTACCAATTTTCCATATTTGCGTAATCCACGGTAAAACGTATGATCTCGTAGCTTAAGAATCTAACGGTGCAAATACTATTCCCGTAGGAAACTCCAGTTAAATTGTCGATAATGGCACATTGTAACTTTTANTGTCGATAATGGCACATTGTAACAAGTGTCCAGGAAAGTCACTCGTACCCTGAGGAAAGGAATCAGAACAAGAATCGTGACTTTTAACGAGTCATCGTTTCTTCCACCAGACAGTCTATCATTAGCACAAGCTTCTCTGCTGGAGTTTTCCGGCAAACCACAGGAAGATCCGACAACATTCATTTCGGAGACTGAAGTGGTCCTTGCTATACTGAAGGCATTTGAATATATTCAAGAAAACAATATCGGAGACTCACTTATCTTAACCAATTCTCTCAGCGCACTTACCAGCATAGATAATCTCATTAAGTCAAACTTTCAGGTCAATTTAATACAAAATACAGTCCACTCAATACACCACAAAGGTATATCTATAAAAATTAACACGTAATCCAGTAATACATATATATATGTATAAATATACAAAGTATAGTTTGGTCTAGGAATTAGTTCGTGCGGTTTTACAAGAGATGGCGTAACTAGCTTATTGTTCCATCGTTTCGTTTATATAAACATGCGTTTAAAAGCTTCTATCATTGGGAATCTTATACAGTATACATCATTCGATTGAAGTGTAAACAAAGATTTTTTTATTTAACTGAAAATGTCGAGTTTTGTGCCGGATAAAGTGTTTTTGCGGGGAGTTCTTCTTCATTATTTTATTATGAAGAAAAGTGCTAGCGAAAGTCATCCAATTTTGGTTGAAGTTTATGGTGACCATGCTCTAGCTGAGCGAACATGTCAAAAGTGGTTTGCACGGTTTAAAAGCAATAATTTTGGCTTAGATGACTAAAAGAGACCTGGGCAGCCANAGATGACCAAAAGAGACCTGGGCAGCCAAAAAAATCTGAAGACGAAGAATTAGCTGCAATGCTCGATGAGGATTCGTGTCAAACGCAAGACGAACTTGCAAAATCACTAGAAGTTGAGCAAACAACAGTTTCGAAATGTCTCAAAGCAACGGGAATGATTCTAAAGATGTCGCAATGGGTTCCACATGAATTGAAAGAAAGAGACGTTGAAAGAAAAAAAACCGTTTGCAAATTGCTGCTTGAGAGACAAAAAAAAAAGGATTTTTGCGTCGAATTGTAACTGGTGATGAGAAGTGGATTCATTATGAGAATCTCAAGCGAAAAAAAACGTGGCTAAAGCCAGGTAAGCCAGGTGAACCAGGTCCATTACAACCTAAATGAAATATTCACTGTGCAAAAGTTTTGCTGTGTATATGGTGGGACATAAAAGGTGTGGTGTACTATGAGCTTCTAAATTCTGGTGAAACTATCAATGGAGAGCGTTATCGACAAAAATTAATGCGTTTGAAGCGAGCTCTGGCTATAAAACGACCAGAATGGGATAACCGACATGATAAGCTTATCTTCCAACATGATAACGCCTGACCACATGTTGCAAAACTGGTCAAAAACTACTTGGAAAATGTCGGATAGGAAGTCTTACCCCACCCGCCGTATTCACCAGATATCGCACCTTCTGATTACTATTCGTTCAACTGTATGAACAACGATTCACGTCTTCAGAAAATATTGAAAAATAGGTCTCTGAATGGATTGCTTCGAAAGATGAAGAGTTCTTTCGACAGAGAATCCGTAAACTACCTGAAAGATGGGAGAAAGTAGTGACAAGCGATGGACAATATTTTCATTGAGTTGTAATTTTATTTTTTTTCTTAAATAAAGTTTCCATTTTTTACTATAAACTGCACGAATTAATTTCTAGACTAAAAAAAAAAAAAAGAAAACCACTCGTAATAATGCGAACAGATTAGCTTTATATTTCGCGATCGATTAGGTATTTTCCTATAATTTTATATAATTTTGTAAACATTTAACCTATTACCTGCCCACAGGAGACGTTCAAAATAGCAACTTTTGCACAGAAATTTAACTTTTTAAACATAAGTTTTCCGGAAATACTCCGAGCTTCACACATTTGTTAAAATAAATTATGTTATGTATTATAAGTTCAAAAAGAAAAATTTGTCCGGACGACTTATCTTCTATGTGCAAATGATTACCGTAGTTAAAAAACATGCAATTTTTGTGTTAAAATTTACGATTTCAGATTTTATTTTTTTAACTTTAAATTACTATAACTTTTCGAAAAATGTATGGATCAAATTTTTTTTTTTTTTGATAAATACTTTATTTACACACCTTACAGGTGATATACTTTTTTTTAAATCGGATCATTTTTCTTAAAACATGCAGTTTTTCTGGAATTTTTTTTGTTTATTACTTTTTTATGGTAACAGATTACCATAAAAAAGTTGTATAGTTAATTTCCATAGAGTAGCCCATCTCAAAGTACAATCTCTATTAAATAGGTATTATCCAGCTCTCCATTTTAAATTTAATAATAATTTTTTTGTATTTTTATACAATTTCGTGAATTTATATTAACACTTTGTGGGATCGATAAACAATATTTACCTACTTTAGATAGAACACGTAAAAGATACTCATTAACATTACATTTTATCGCCAGGATTATTTGGAATTGCAGTAAAAACAAGATGTATAATCGATGTTTACATCTGATTCCAACAAAAGTTATTATGTGATACTAAATTTGAAAATGTTTTGATAAAACATTTGAAAATGTGTTTGAACAAATCTGTAGCGTAGAATTGTTATGTAACATATTACGATTCTCAACACTAAGAAAAAAATTAAAAAACAAATAATAGTCAAATATAAATTATTTAATTTAATTAATAAAACAGAAAACATTACATTTTATCGAATTCGTGTGTAAAACGAAATATTGCAACTATGACGAATCGAATAAAAAACACAGTTGTTATCATTAAGATTTTTCCCCTTGTTCTATTTTAAAAATTTTAAATCGATTTTCAAGCATCACCAACCTTTTTTTTTTTCACGATCGGCTTTACTGTGAACCGCCCTGGTACAGTCGTTTAAGTCAGAGCTGCCCAAGCATCACCGACATATAAAAAATCAATTTTAGAGGATTTTGGGCAAAAAATAATTACCAAGGACTAAAAAGTTACATTAACTTTCTTTAAGCTGAGAAAAAATTTTCAACTTAACTTTTAACTTAGCTAGTTAAATTTATAATTTGTTAACTTATCGATTTTTTTCCTACTTAATTAACTTGAGATAATTATTTCCATTAATTTGTCCATTTTCGTTTAAATGTTAATTATATATATATTTTTAGGAAGAAATTTTGCAGTTTTTAATAAATCAAAAATTGAAATTATTTCAATACCTTTTCCGAAAAAAAAATTGACTTGCTAATAGCTTATGAAATATCACAATTTTAATTTCATAATTGAAATTATAATTAATTAACAAAGGTCAAAATTATCAAGTTTTCTTCTTTTTTTAAAACTAACTTTTTATGAAAATCGGTGACCCCATCACCGTGACCTCCTCTTGTTAGTTTTGCTGTCCTTACTAAAACAATGATTGAATTGATTACTTAAATCTGAGTGAAACGCAAATTGGAAAAAAAGATTTTAATTAATTTTGTTTATTATTATTAATTTTTTTTAAATGTTTTGTGTACAGTCATAATAATTTTTGATCGAAGATATAAATAGTACATTTTGAAGATAATTCTAATATTCTTCTCTAAAAATTTATTTAATTTTTGATGTTAATAAACTTAAAAATAAAACTTCAATGATACTACATTTTGTATTTATTAGTTTATTTTAAAAAAGTAAAAAAATAATATTACACTTAAAAGAAACCATTACCAAACAATAATTATTGTTAAAATAAACTATTACAATTAGATTGTTACTGGAAAAAAAATTTGCTAAGTTAATTTAAGACATGTAGAACTATAATAGCCAACCTATTTATTTTATACATTAGGTAGTTTAATTACTGTTATCATGTTTAAATATTATCATCTATAAAGGAAACAAAATATAGTGATGGGCTATTATGGTTCTATACGCTTTATTTTATAATAACAGTCATAAATAAACAATCTAGTTATAATACTTTTAATTTTAATATACTATTACAAGTTTAAATAAAGAATATTCAGGTATGTACTACTTAATAAAATGTAATACATACCAAAGTTATTACACTTTTTCTGGTAATCTTGAAAATTTAAAAGTATTGTTTTTAAAATATAAATCCAAAAATAATAACAGCCAATCCAGCCCAGTAGGAAGATAAAAACGAAGAGTTAGTGACTATAGATACTAAATACCAAATAAATAGTACAATAAAAACTTGTAAAAGAATATTCAACCACATTAATCTGAAACAAAGAATGTTTAGTCAAGGTAAAGTTAAATTGAATTTTAACCACATTATTAACTTACATAAAATTTTTCCTGGTTGCAGCCTTTAGAGTTTTTTCACTTTCCTTATGTAAATATTTTCTAACTCCTAATGTCAAATTAAGGAAAAAAATAGGCCACTGCACATTAGTTGGATCAACATAAAATAGGGATTTATCATCTACACCCAAATCTTCATGTAAACGCAATGTATGGGAATTATCAAATTTCCATTCTTGAAAAATAAATGGAGCTAATCGACTTAATGATCGATTAACATTTGTATGTAAACGTACTAAACTGAAAAAAAAAAAATAAATGGTTTAACATCTATTAGATTACATATAAATATATAATAAAAATTTTAACTGTTAAAAAATTAGACCCTTATAAATAAAATACTATAATTACAAATTTATTACTTACATAGGTCGTCCACCAGATATTTTTGTAACAAAATCTAGAATATAAGCTGGTATGAAATGAAAAATAGCTGATGATATCCAATACATAAATAAATTGGGTAAGAATTTGATATGAGGATACCACACAGCACCTTGTATAGGAAATTCATGTAGAGCTATACATAGTTTACTTGCAAGATTCTCCCAACGAAAAGGATTGCATGTACTAGTAGTTAAATGAAATACTGGTGTCTGTTCAGTTACTGATGCATCACTAAAATATAATTTAAATAATTTAATTACTAAATAATTACTTTAAATATTTTCTTCGAGGCACTTTACCTAGATGGCAATTGTGCACTATACCATACACTAGATATCATTGAATTGACCACAATATCTACAGGTATATAATCATATATTAAGGTTGGGTTGACTGGTAAACGTCGAACGACTCCTTTGGATGCACCCATGATAAAACCTTGAGGACCATTTTTTGAAATTGTCCATCCTTCAACTGGTTCTTTCCATGAAGCTACAACTATTATTTTAAATAAAAATAATGTTCAGTATTTTTGTAAAAAACTATACACAGTGACTTAAATTTCTAAAGTAACTAATTACTAAAAGTAAAAAAAAAATTAGTGGCTTAAAGAAAACAAATAGTCATAATTTAACAAGCAAAAATTTTGATTTCAAATAGCATGCTAAATAAATCATTAAAAAACAAAAAATCTGATAAAGAATTGTTTGAGAATTAAAACTAACTCAAAATAAAAACCATTAGTTAATAACAACCAAAGTTAAGGCTCCATTTATAAAAAAAATTTCTATAAACCATGAAATGATTTCAATTATGGGTTCATATTAATGGATTTATAAATATTGAACACAAATTTAGTCCTCTTAATAGTTTTTCATAGTTCTTAAATAATACTAGTAAACACATATTTCGAGTCTGGGTTTTAATATTGGATTCTAAATACTTGTACATTACAAATGATGAAACAAAATTTTACTGGAAAAAGTATGGTTTTGTGATTACAATAACAAAATAATAGATTTCACTGAAATTTCTTTGTTTTTAATCTGTTTATTGATTAAAATGTATTTGTAAAGTTTTAAATAATGATTATTTTATAAATATATCAAATAAATATATTCTGTAAAAAATATAAAAAAATTAATTAATACAAAATAATGTAGAGTTTCTTTTACAGTTACATAAAGTTTGTTGCGTCAGTTCAAGACCAATAAATACTAAAATTCTTTGGTTAAATTGAATTTAATGACATATGTAATAGTTCACTACAATATAATTAGAAATTTATTAATTTCATATTATTATTTAATTGTTTCAAGCGATCTTGTAATATACCAACAGTTATCTCATTATACAACTATAAAAATATATAGGTATTTATTAAATTATTTTTAAAAAAAAGTATCAACTTAAAAAATAATAATGGTATCATTAATCTTCTGCTGGCTTATAAAGCAGAAAATAATAATTAAAAAAAAATGTTTTTTGTTGAAAAGTGTAATTAATAAAATTAATATGGCGTATATTTATATAAGGTGCCTCAAATAATAATAGTTTATTATAAATGACCATAAAATACTGAATTCAATCAATCTCTTGTTAAATAGTAGTATTATTATACTTACTCATACTAGGTCTAACAATACAAGTACGAATTATTCCTCTTACATCATTTACTACATGCTCCGCTAAAGCTTTTGTAAATGTATAAGTATTTATATGTTCGCCCATAAGTCTAAAATATTAAATTTTTTTCTGATTATATTGTAATTATAATCTGGCATATGCAGAAAATAATAGTTCTAGTTGTATGTAATTAATGTTTTATTTCACCATTTATTAATATTATTCAAATTTTGTATTTTTTATACTTATATTCAATAATTTAACAAAAATATTATCATATTTACTAACTTCTCAGCTGAATTATTTAACTCTTTAGCATCCATAGTTTGAGCATAATTAATTATATCATTGTAATTAGCAGGAGCATCATAAATTATTTCTTCAGCATAATTTCTAACACAATTAACATAGGCACTTGAAACATGCAATAAACACTAAAAAAATAATTTGATTCAGGATATTTTTTTAACTTACATAACTGGGGTTTGAGTTTTCATGTATTCATAAAGTTTATTTTAGATATTAATGATAAATAAATATTATTTTTTGTTTTTATTAATCCTACATTAATTAGAATTTTAGTCTTGTAGGAGGTCATTTCTTCTTTCTGTATTATTGTATATACATAGGATAAATTTTCATGGAGTTGCATGTCTCGGAAGGGATCCAAACAAATTCTATAACACAGTCTCAAACCTTATACATGACTAATAAAATTATTAACTTACACTCAGCTTTTTTATTTTTTTGCTCAAGTCTACAATACGTTTTGTACCCATCAAATTGATATTGATTGCAGTTAATAAATCAGTTTCAAAGTCTAATGTAGCTGCACAATGAACTACAATGTTAATATTGTCACACAACATTTTTTCGTCTTCATCAGATAATCCTAGTTTTTCTGCTGATATATCACCACTAATTGGTATAAGTTTATTCAACAATACTGGTCCACCTTCAGTATTTTTCAAAGTTTCAAATACCTTAAATACGAAAGTATTTAGTATAATTCAATTAATATATACATTGAGAAAATCCAAATAAATCTTACAGAGTTGCTTTTTATTATTTCAAATCTCTCTTGTATTCCTTGTGTTTTTCGAGCTCTCAGTAAAACATAGATATTTCCAATATCAGGAATACTCCTTAATAATTTTTCTAAATATGCAATGCCAACAAAACCTGTGCCTCCAGTTAAAAAAATATTTTTGCCAGCATAGAATTGTTTAACAGTTTGGTAAGGCATTTTTGCTTATTAAATCACACTCAATTAATTTTAATACTAAAAGTACAAAAAAAATTATTTTTTAGAAATAAAATTATTCCACTGTACAGAATTTTTAAATAGAAAATACAAAAGTAAAAATATGTAACTCTAGTTAAAATGAATAACCTTAACTGATAAAAACATTAAGTAATATATTTTAATGATGCCACATAAACAGCACAAAAACTCTGATATGGAATTAATCTGAACTACCCAAATGTAAAAACGAGTTTTCGTATAGCTTAGGTATTAATAATTTAAAGTAGTTTGGTTGTGTAAAATAACATGTTCTCCTTGAACATATGTTGTCGAAATTACGAGTTGATTATTCAGATGGCAAACAAGTGTACAAAGAATAGGCGGAGCCACCAAACAAGTACATCAATATTTATACTTAAAATAAGGCCATTCAAGACCCACTCTTAATTAAATTCATTGTTATGACTTAGAATTATAAAACATTAACAAATGGCAATTTGAATTGCGAAAGAAACAATTAAACAAGAAAAGGTAAACAGATTAACACGGTTAATAACCTGTGCCTCACAGTGTCGTAATGTTAAATAATTTACAATAATATAAAAACGATAAGATAACGTAAATTGCAGCATTAACACTTACCTGTTAGATTATTATTTTTACGCACGTTGTTGTTTAATACAACAATAAACAAATGAAACACTCAGTAATAATAGAACGAAATACCAAAATTTAACAGAACTACGAAGTAAAATAATGAAATATCTTTACCTGTTAATGATAAAATACCTGTTGATGATAAAAAATAAAAGATAAAAGATAAGCCTAGGCTAAATCAGTAGACGCGTCTACTGATCTTAACATGCATCAATCATATTATCAAGTATGTAATATCCATTCGATTAATAATTTTGAAATTGTAATGATCAAAGTTACTTTGAAAATGGCTAAGTTAGACGAAAGTCTATTAACGATTACTTAAGTCATATATCATATAGGCTGAGCCAAATTACTGACACAACTAGCCTTAAATCTGTAAGTTGTAAATTTCAGTGGCTTATAGAAAATTAGTCCCTTTACCATTTGGTAGAACTTTCATTTTCTTAAATCAATGCAAAGCACTTTCTAAAATTTTAGGCCCCATTTTTTGACTAAGAGATAAGTTTATAATAGAAGTTTTTATATTTATTATTCATATAATCCGTTATAATTTTTGTAGTAAAAACTATGAGAGTAAATTTTAAGCAATAGCTTTTTTGATGATCCCCTAAAACGTGGCACTTCTGTTATGCAAATAATATCCCTTTCTTGTGGAAACCTTAATAAATAAAACATACATATGTTTTATGTACAGAATTATTTGTTTATTATAACCTACTCAATTACTCATCAAATATTAATAAATAAATTTATGATTTCTTTTAGTTGCATATATTTATTGATTTATAGTTATAATTCATTTTTCAGCAACATACCTATTAACTTATAATATTTTTTACTTTTTTTATTTTTAAATAATGTCGAGTATTTGAACTTTCAATTTAGCTGTATTAAATCCAGTTTCTCTATAATTTTTTAAAAACTTGACAAGCTCATTAAATAATTCTGAAGAAATATCCGAGTCCACATTTGAACTTTGTAAATTTTTGTTGACAATGTTCTCTTCACCCAATACTGTCTTTAATATCTGAGAAATTAATGAATTGGTTTGATTTTTAATTAACGGATCATGTGGTATCTAATATTTCATGTGAACATATCAATAATTTCTTTGACTTGAAACCTTAGTGCTTTAACACTATCACACCTACCTACTTTCCTAACTTGTTTCAAACCATTTTTTTACTGTGAACTTATGGCAATGTTTAGAGAATATAATTTTAACATCACTTATAGAGTTTCAAAATTTATAATTTACATATTATGAAAAAATCATAAACTACATAATATTCAACATTTAATTTTTTGCATTTATTCTACACAAATATAAAATAGTACATACCATTGTAAACAACAATTTTTAAAGTCATAATTTTTTCAAATATTATGTATTTTAGATATTTTTATTATTCTAAAAATATAATAAAATGCGTTATATTTTTGAGTTAAATATAAAAGAATTTTTATTATATATTTTCTTATTATTTATTCTACAATATAATTTAATTATATTTGTATATTATTTATAAATATAAATTTATTTCTGTTTACATCATACCTAATAGTTATTAAACTAATTATAATCAAATACAATAAAATACGAAGTTATACATTAATAGGTTAGTTTTTAAAAACAAAAAAATATTGTAATTATATCAAACAAAACAATTGAAACTCGAATATGAGAAAATATATAGTTAAAATTGATTTTATTAATACACAATTCATTAGTCACAGCAATAAACGTTACACAATGACTTGACTGCTCAGTAACACAAAATTATAAATTTATATGAACAATCCTGTAATATTTAAAAAAAAGATAACCAATATTAAATGATGTTTAACAATGTCATATTACAAGAATAAAATGTTACAAAAGTCACTATGAGTAATATGATCAAAATGAAAACCCACTTTTTATGTAGAATAAATGCAAAAAATTAAAATTAAAAGATTGAAAATTATATAGTTAGTGGATTTTCCATAATACGCCAATTGTAAATTTTTTAATTTCTAAAAGTGGCGTTGAAATTATTTCTCCATCATGAAATTTTCACCAGACAGTTTAATTGCCTAAGGGTAAGTACTTTGTAAATTTGAAAACAATTTGTTCAGTCATTTTTGTGTAATGATATGATAAAGTTGGCTATTTTCTGCAAATCATGCGCGTTATAAATCGTAAAACAATATAAAAAAAAATTGAATCGATTCAAATATGATATGGGTAAAAAAAACATATCTAAAAGTTTCTGAAAAAAAAAAATTTTATTAAAAATTGTATGATCATTAAATTTTCTTATTGAAATAGTACAAAATTAAAATTAAAATTTTGATGTTAAAAAGAAATTCAAAATTCATAAGCTTAAGAATGAAATTTAAGTACTATTTAATATCAGTAAAACAGTGCTAGTTCCACAGTAATAGCTTTTTTGGATGTGTAGTTATAGGCTCTAGAACATAAGGTGTTTTTTCATGTTTTTAATTATAAGAATTGCATATCTGGTTAAAAAACAATAAAAAAACAGTAGTACAGTGGGGTCGCGGAACAGTGTGAGCGTTGCATAGTTAGAAAAACTATAGAGGATACCTGACAGTTAGTTAAGTAGTTGTATATTTCTTTACTTTTAACGCGTATCAAAATTTAAAGGACTTGACGCATAAAAAATGTTTGTTACTTATAATAAAGTTATAAGTCTTATACACTGGACTACAAGGAACTTTCATCAGAAACAAAAATATACTTTTCTAAATCAACTTTTCGCGATGTTTTCAAATGTGCAATTTAACTTTTTCTACTACTTCTAAGTTTTAATACTATTACTTATTATTAAAAAGTAAGTGTTTACATATAAAAAAAAAAAAAACCCATCACAGGGGGGTCGTGGCACAGTGGTGACGTGGCATAGTTGGATCAAATATAATGATATCTGATAGTGATTAAAATCACTATCAAAATAAAACGCTTCGATGCAAATCTTTAGATAGTGTCTAATTTTAAAAAATTGGTGTATTATTCCAAAAGCTATTTGATTTCCTATTTTCTTATTTATATCCTGAGCACAAGTTTAATGATTTATAAGTGTAATATATGAATAAATATATTTATAATATATATATATATATATATTTCAAAAATTAAGTTACATGATCTGCTACTTCCTTATTAATATCCTTATTAAGATAAAGTATGTCGAATGAAAAAGGGATTATAAAAAAATGTTATTTTTCATAAAAAAATTGTGTTGATCCGTACACTTTTCAATAAGTTATAGTATTATACAGTTAAAAATGTAAAATATAAAATTGAGAATTTTCACACAAAAATAGCATTTAGTAGCCATTTTCACCACGAAGACAAGTCCAGAGGTAAAAATTTTTTTTTCCATAATAAAGTGCATTATATACATACAAATCTTTAATATAAGATACATAAAAAAAACCCAGCATAGTGAAGTCGCGGCATAGTGGGGATGTTGCATAGTTGGGTCCAGTATAGATTTAATCTGACAGTGATTAAAATCACTATCATAAGAAACGCTTCGATGCAAATCAGTAGATAGTGTTTAATTCTAAGAAATTGGTGGATAATTACAAAAGCTGCATGATCTGCTAGTTCCTTATTAATACCCTGATTAAGATAAAGTATGTCGAATGAAAAAGGGATTATTAAAAAATATTATTTCTCATAAAAAAATTGTGTTGATTCATACACTTTTCAATGAGTTATAGCATTATAAAGTTAAAAATGTAACCAACCCAACCCAACATCAACTCCTATTTCCTTAATTATATCCAGATTAGTAATTATTTTAATTATATATTATATAATTTTTATAATTAATTATTTTCAAATTATTATTGATTTTTAATATGTTAAAAGTAATCATTTTGAACCTACTTCTTTTTGTTCTTTAAAGTGAAAGTTTTAATAAAAAAAAAATGAATTTATTACCATAACTTTTAACTCAACTTGCAAGTTTGAAATAAATATTATTAAATAGAAAAAAATGAAATTGGTAGATTATTTCAAAAACAACAATAACACTTATTCCCTTAATTTTACCCCGATTTATAACTATAATATATGAATACATAATAATTACAGTAATTAAATTGAGTATGAAAGTGGTATTCAATAATATAATATTGTAATTTTTACGGAGATATTATAAAAATAAAAAGGAGTTGTATATTCATATACTTTTAATGCGTATACAAATTTAAAGGAATTGATGCAATACTTTTTAATAAAAAAATTTTGTTATTTATGAATAAATAAATACAAAAGGAACTTTCATCAGAAAAAAAATATACTTTTCTAAATAAACTTTTCGTGATGTTTTCAAATGTGCAATTAAACTTTTTCTATTACTTCTAAGTTTTAATATTATTACTTATTATTAAAAAATAAGTATTTACATATAAAAAAAAATAATTAAGAACAAAAAAAATTGTATTAAATTAATACTGATTTTGATTTTTAATATGTTAAAGGTAATCATTTTGAACCTATTTTTTATTGTCTTTTAAAGTGAAAGTTTTAATGAAAAATACCTTCTCAGCTTCGCATCGAAGCTAAAAAATGAATTTGTTACCATAACTTATAGTTCAACTTGCAAGTTTGAAATTGACATTATTAAATTGAAAAAAATGAAATTTTTAAGATTAATATGCAATCTGGAAATTTTATAATTACTAATTACAGTACATTTGTCAGAAAAATTCGATTTTTTTACATTTTTATCGTAATAGATAACTGAAATAGAAAGAATAGTAATCATATCCTAATAACTTTTGGTGTTTAAAAAAATTCTGCAATTGAAATATTCAGAACTTAATTAATTTTAATAA